AGAGAGAGAGAGAAAGTGAGTGAGGCAGGGAATGGGACCCAAAGACTCGAGTTAGAAGCGGCTCAGTATGAACGTCTACTTTTTTCTCTCCCTTCTCGTCAACTGTGGGTAGAAGCTACATGCCGCTTATCTTCCCTTGACGCAACCCAAGTCGCATTTTACGAGACGGCAGAGATGCCTCTTGGGACTGAGTGAATGTATCAGAAGACTTCTTTGAGAAACAACATCACCAATCGGGATTGGACATTTGCCGTAGGAGGCAGAAAGGAACCCAGAGAACAAGGACAGTTTGTTGGTGGGAAAACCACCAAGCGAGGACAAGATGTGCTCACTCAACCGGGCCTTTTCTCTCTCTGTGTTCCCCAGGGAGCGGACAGCCGCCGCTTTGGACGCCGCCGTGGACTACGTCAAGGTGAGTTCGGTTTACCATTGCGGCTTCCGCTCTTTCCGATTGTTCTCGGCGGATTTTGAGTACGCTTTTTTCCTTCCCGCAAAGTTGACGCCAACGCGGGTCACATTCTGTTGATGTCATTCCACATATTTGTCATCCTCTCTCTAGGCTGTCTATTCAAAGATTAAAAAAATAAATACATTACATAAACATACGGTCCAGAAATAAGATGAGAATTTATTTGTGCGCATTGTCATAAGGTCGTGTAGTGCGCGTGGCATGAGTCACTGAGGTTGTAGCTGTTTGAAAGCACAGTAATTGCTCCCTCCTGTAAAACGTCAGAATGGAGGAGCAGGTGAAATCAAAACAATCTGAAAAAAAATCTTACAGCACGTCACCCTAACGGAAGAGGGCTATCATTGATTATTCTATCGACGAATCGGATAACATTTAATTTGGCATGAAAGTATCACACATAATCGAGATTGACGCACAGACCAAAAAACGGATTCGGTGACTGCTTCGGTCATCGTTTTGCGAAGTAAAAGCAGATGCTTTAAACGATTATTCCACCCTTGAAATGGCTGTCGATGAATTGGATACTCAACTGTTGATTAATCCATCAGTTTGGACTGCTCTACTTAACGTAAAAAGCATCTAAGAAATGACTTTAGAGCAACAGTGCTGCGGATTGTCATAAAAAAAGGCCACTACGGTTACATATCAGGCACTTTTAAATTTAATAAGTAAAACTTCAAATGACAATCAATACTAATGACGTATAAGAAAGTTCAAGACGACACTATCATTCATTCAATATTATAATTCCGTTTCCATGGAAAGGCCTTGAAAAGTTCCAACGACAAAATCTCACACCTGCAGGCCAAAAGATTTGCCGACTTTCAATTTGAGAAAACCTTTTTCCTCGTTTTCTTCTTCACCCCGAAGGTCGCGCTCATTTCTTCCACTCCATCATCCCTTCTTGTGTCCAGCGACCATGCTTTCCTCCCATCTCTTAGCACATACATTTGGATGCTGACGCCTCAGTGTGAAAAGCAAACCGAGTCTTTCGCACGCACGCGCACACACACACACACACACACACACACACACACACACACAGAGCTCTGGTGTTTCAAATCAGGACTGTGAGCAGGAGTCAATAGTGTGCGCTGACCGCACATGGAACCACTCTTTCCCAGCTCTTATGCAATAGGTGTGAAAGTGTAGCTGTCAGCCACAATTGCAGGTGTGTTTACATTCGCGTCGCGGGTAATAAAAGCTCCAACAGGTACACAGGTGCTCTCACATCTGATTTCCGGCGATGAGGTCAAAAAAAGTGCACCGCGTCTTTCTGCAAGCGAGCAGGGTGCAGAAGTTGTGCGGGACGCTCGCATGCGGGGAAGGAAATGTCCGTCGAGGACAGCGCTGTCAAGAAAGGGCCTGCAATGTTTGCCTGTCAACAAGGTTGTTGGGCTGATTGTCCTTCATGGAAAGGAAAAGAAACATCAGTCGAGGCCATGTCGCTTTTCACGCTTTTATACTCTCGCTTGAATATCGTCGCTGTCCTGTGAAAAACACCCAAAGTCCATTTTTGTCATGAGATGTCCGAAATGCGTACACCCCATTCACGTAATTTTTTTGTTTTGGGGGTTTTTGTGGGGGGGGGACGTCCGGATTTTTCTCAGGACAGCGACGATGTGAAAGCTTCACGGAGCAGCCTGGTGAACGAATAGTGTGAATATGACTTTGAAAAAAAAAAGTGGCATTGAACATATGAATAAATATTTTGCCACCGAAGCATTGAATTGGTGCTTTCAAGTGGATGAAGTGTGAAAGAAGGACATGAGAGAGAGAGAGCACAACAGGCAACACATCTGTGGCGTGAGAGAGAGAGAAAAAATAAATCTTTGAGCAAGTTTTCTCTCAAATACTCTCTTTTCTCTCGCCTCCCCTTTGAAGTAAAAGCGGCAACTTCCCTCAGCCTGAAAAGTGAACGTTCTCAAAACAATCCCGTTCTGTGTGTGGTCTTGGCTTGCCTCCGTACGTGAGCCTGCGGAAGACCGCTGCTTTACTGTACTCACTGTATGATTCTCTCAGTGCATTTTTTTTTTTATTTTTTTAAGAAGGGCAACGCCATTTGTTGCTGACTCATCTTTACATGACGAGGTTATTAACGAGTGATTGTTCTATCAACACGGTAGCGCAGAAGATGAACTTTCTTGCCACCCGGTGGTCAAACTTTGGTATGACAAGGCTGAGGCCACAGGAACCCGCCGGGCAGAGCGGTTTGACTTGCAAACGGCAGCGGATCATCATAGCGATGTGTCGGCGAGCTTTACGCTCCGCCGGGCCGACTGCGGGTGCGTTCATGTGGATGACAGCCAATCGATCGATGAGTTGGCCTGTTTGTAAGCAGGACACGCGGCTGATTCAGAAGCGCCTGCTCGGTCTCATTTGGTTGTTTCGAAAGTCGCCGAGCTCTACTTTGATCCGAGCGGCATTCTCTTTGCCGCGTTATATCGAGCGCAAACGTGTTTGAAGCATCGCAATCGACTTCATGCATTACAGCAGAGTCTTGAGAAAGTGCACAGATGATTTTCTTTTTCACTTTCTCACTTGAAAATGGAAGCCGACGTGAGATTCTACGGACCACGTATGCATTCTTTTCTCGCTGCATTACCCTTCGCGATTTTATGTGTAGAATGCACACATGATTTTCTTTTTAACTTTTATCCCTTGAAAATGGAAGCCGACGTGAGATTCTTCGGACCACGTATGCATTCTTTTCTCGCTGCATTACCCTTCGCATTCTTAAAATAAAAACAGCCTAATGACAGTGTACCATTTTGGAAAAGCGACAATCTTCTCAGATTTTATGATCTGGAAAGCTGACGTGCGCTTTTCTTTTGCCCTTCTTTTAGCCCGCATTTCAAAAACAACAAGCAAATGCAAATACGGTTGAAGACATACTGCAGAACCCCCAAAAGAGGTTGCAAGTTTCCTGTCCCTTGTTGTTTTCCAGCGCATTCCTGAAATGACGGATGTGTGTATTTTAAGGTGGACGTTTATGCTAGCTGGTGATTTGGGGCCACTGCGGTTGGCATTGCTGTAACGTGTCGCTCCGGGGAACATTCGACATGGAGTTCCTCCGTGGATCGTCTGGGAGCCTGCACTGTAATTACTGTCTTTATTCCCTGTGGCAGAAATGTCTTTTAACTGCTGCGATGACACCCCCGCGTGCGCTTTTTGCGTTGGCTTCAGTTTGCACTGCCGCGCTATCACAAAGTGAGATAAGAGAGGGCCTCCCGTTGCCTGCGTGGGTTTTCTCCGGGTACTGCCGGTTTCCTCGCACATTCCAAAAACATGCACGGGAGGTTTCATGGTACGCTCTCGTCTAAATTACCGCTCGGTGTGATTGTGAGCGCGGATGCTTGTTTGTGTAGGTGTGCCCTGGGATGGGCGTATCTCGCTTAGGCTCCGGCACGCCCGCGACCATCGTGAGGAGAATCGAATCAGAGTCAGCATCTGACATCCGCTTATTGCACTTAAACAGGCGTTGTTTTTATTTTTTTATATTTGCGTCTTTATGTCTTTTTTATACAGTTCAGTTTCGCTGCCCTTATTTTTAGCGTTTTTCATGCACTGCATGTTTGCACCGTGGTTGACAGGAAAGAAATTTCACCTGTGCTGTGTGTTGTACATAGAGCGTATTTGACAATAACGTTGACTTGGCTTGAAAACGGATGGATGGATAAGAGAGGGCCTGGCTCGCTAGCTTCGTTCCAAGTTATCTTGATGACGTTTGATGGGGTTGAGGTCAAGGCTCTGTATGGGCCCGGCAAATTCTTCCACGTCAAATAAGTCCAACAAAGCTTTTACCCATCTGTTCTGTACACCGGGGCAATCTGTACCCACAAAACTGGAAGAATAAAATTGCTCAAATGGTCTGGATTATAAGAAAATTGTACGCAGTGGTTGTGGCCCACTGCTGACTGAGAAAATGAATTGTACAGCTAATTGCCTGGGCTTGACGTCGTTGCTGCGGTGCATGTCCAACAGGAAGTGATTCATCAGTAGTTTCTAATGATGCAGGAAGGGGCAACAGAAGAGTTTGCCTGCTAATCTGCAGCACCCTCTGTTGACTGACAGGCCAATGTCCAGAAACCGTACTTGTTGAAAGCAGGAGCGCCATTTCCGAAGAAGCAGACTGACTCTGCTGTAGACTAATTGTCAAATGTTGTCTCTTTAGTCCTTTTGGGACCTTTGATGATCATTGCTTGTAATTTAATATATTCATCATTTGGAATCAGTACACATGTTGAAGAGTGCTCCAATACGGGAAGCAATATCAATTTTCAAGGAAAACATGTAATGGGTGAAATCATGACGACTAAGAAAAAAGGCACCCATCGCCAAAAATTGTTCACAAAATCAAGAAAAACCGAGAAATATTGTTGTTTTGTTTGATGTGAAAACTCTTTTGGAAGTAATTGACAGTTTTTTTTTAAATTTGGTTTTGTTTTTCAAATATTGTTGGGTGAAGAAAAAAAAAAACTGACCAAGCATTCAGGGCAAAAGTGCTGGAGAACCACGAAGGGTCATCTGTGCACGTGCCTGCTGCAAAATGCAAGCAAAGCTCAAGTTTTGCCAAAATGAAACTCCTCAACACACAAAAACAACTGGGGGAAAAAAAACAGCACAGGAACGAGCACAGTAAGAGCATGAAATGAAATCAGGTCATATGTATTACAAAAAAATAAAAAATAATTAATAAATTACGTAGCCGTTAAACAACCTGGATGTAGCACAGCGAATTAGTGGTGGAATGTACAGTAGGTGAGAAAATCATTTTTGTATTGATTTCTCCATCCATCAGCATCCTTAGAGCAGAGAATCACGGGAGGGAGTGTTTGCCTTTGGGCCACTCCCAAGCGCGGCAGATGTGATTGGTTCATAGCGGAGCACATGGCCCTTTCTCATGCCCATATGTGGGGCTTGGGGTGGAGAAATGGAAAAAAACGATCAGAAAGGAGGCAAGAGCGGAGAGTGGCGGCCAGTTCACTCCGCAGGGGGACTGTGGAGGAGAGAGTCAGCGGCAGTGGACGTAGCGACAAACAGACTCATCACCATGGCGCTTGGCGGGCCGAAGTGGACACGCAAGACCATTATTGCTGTTGGACGCGTTTCTTCCAGCTGACAAGCATTAAGTCCACTTCTGAGAAAATAGCTTTCTGCAACCGACACGCTTTGAAGAGGCAAATGGGAGTCGCCAGTGGACCTTCACTTCACTCAAAAGAAGTTTGAATAGTTTGTGGAACCAAGGCGACTGCCCCCCCCCGCCCCCCCTGGTATTTACAGCTGAGCGATAACCAGCTGGAGGCAACACTTGCTGCCCTCTTGGCACTGGAGAAAAACTTCACCAAAATGTCACAGCGATGTAACATGAAGAGCCTGACAGCGGCTCTTTGCTGCTTCTACCACAACAGCTCCGTCATCAGCGCAAAGGTGAGAGAAGAAAGCCCCACGCACACGTTTGAAAGACTGCCAGGAACGTCTTTTGTCTTTAAATTCGTCCCCTTATGAACTCGAAGGCCAATTTTTGTAGCGAATCTGTTGGTGTTAAAGGAAACGGGCGAGTTCGTCTCAATAAGCCTCCCAAAAGTGCCTGGTGACACTTTCAGCCTGAACAAAATCGAATCACGCTGAATGGTCCTCCTCTTTCCCTCTCTCTGTCTGTGACTCGAACAACTGGCCTTTTATTATCCTGCGCAGACACCCGCGTAAATGAGCGACTGTGCGACGGCGTGTGAGATATATGAGCAGCTTTATCCATAAGTAGTGTTGGCACACAGACAAGGCAGCGAGTGTGTGATGGCACCGGGTGAGACACAGCGACACGTCGGGATGTAGCGGAATGAAGGTGATTCACGAGTGACTCGCGATAGTTGGCCCTTTTTATGACGTCAGTGAAATATATCGATGCCATTAACTTGATTTGATGGAGCCGGCGGCGGCGCGGCCGCCGTGCGGCAAAGTGACACGGCGTCCCCTCGGGACGGTCAGCTCCCATCTTTCTGCGTCGCGCGAGCAACGTATGGTTTTCTTTTAAGTTTTGCTGTTGACTGATGTCCTGTATGGATTGAGAGTATTGGAACACGTACACGCCCATTGACAAAATGCAGCCGGCCAAATAACATTTCAGGATAAACGGGATAGAAAGCAATTGAAATGTCTCAGTGGGTAAAGGGTTACAAAGCCACTGCTAAAGCTTGCAGTGAACGACAGCGTGAGCCATTCTTCAGATATAGAAGGAAAAAATGGCACATGAGTGAAACTTGCCAGGAGTGGCCATTCGACCAAAACTTACCCCAAGAGCACAGCGAAGACTCAATGAAGCTTCGTCAGTCGGCAATAAGTGTCAGCGTTCCAAGGCAAAACCCCTGTCAACCCAAAAAAAAAAAGATCCTCAGGGCTTCTTCATTTTGTCTGATTAATCCCTCCCAAGAATTTTAGATTATGACTGACATGGTGAAAGTTTAATTTTTTGGAAGACGTATGTCTCATTACAGCTGTTATTAAACACAGAATTTCAAAATAAGAAGATCATACAAAGAGTCAAACACGGAGGAGGTTGTGTGACGGGTTGGGGCCGCACTGCCAGTTCACGACCTGGACGACTGTGATTGATGGGAGCAAAGACTGTTCAGCCATCAGTTTGTGTCAAAGTACGGTCTTAAATCAGATTGAATTGCCGTGGCATGACCGGAAAAAAAGGCCATTCATGCTTGAAAGCCCTCCGGTGCTGGTGATTTGAAACAATTTTACGGAAAAGAGTAGCCCAGAATACCTCCTCAGAGATGTGAAATGAAAGACTCATTTCCAGTAAGATAAAGTGCCTGCTTCCCGTTATTGCTGCCTTTGGGCGAACTGGACATTTACTACCTTGAGGGGGCAATTACGAGTTTGCTCAGGGCCAGGTGACATTGAACCATAGCATGGACGCACCGTTAAGAACATTGACCGCAAGGCTGTTCTCACTGGCTGCTGAGAGTTGCCAGCCGCTAAATGTGAAGTGAGGCTACCGCCACTGACAACGTAATTGGCCCCGCGGGGAATCAATATTTCAAAGGAAGACAATCTCAAGATAACAAGAAAGTTGGGTGACGCCTGTTGTCGCCGTTCTTGTTTCGCTTCGCATCAGTCTGTCTCGAGTTGCGGCAGAAACAAACCAAAAAGGTACCATTAAAACCTTGAGACAGTCTGGTTTGTTTTGGCCACGTTATGGTCACAGTTTAACAAATTCGCCCAACTTTCTCCTTTTACTCTGTCCCGATGCCCGGCTTTGTCCACTCTCATTTGGGTTTCAACGAGCCCTCGCTTTCTTCCACGCTCTTTCCCCATTTCCGTGTAGGCGCCATCTGTTTGTCTGGGTGGGCGCCATTTATCCTAAAAGCGCTCCGCTTGTTCCTCTTTCAAAGTGCCACAACCCCCGCGACCCATTTTGCAGTCGCCCTTCGGGAACAAATGCTGAGCTTGAGCGCATTGTCATCGTGTACACGTACTTTCACGAAGAGGTATTTGCTCTTTCTTGGCAAAAGAATCCTCTCTGTTGCATATTTTATGGCCGAAAATATCCAAGCCCCAAACTCCCGGTGCGGATAATCGCGATGACTCTCTGCACTTGTACTCGACAGATCTCAATCTTCACGTCCTTTAAGGCGACTTGTTGACCTTTTGACTTTACATTTGGTTGCACTATGTCCGAAATACTGCATAGAGAAACAGAAACATGGCTTTCCAACGAAAACACGAGTCCAACAATTGAACTTCGCCGTTGGCACGTCATGTCGTTCGCTAGGCCGGTCAGCGAGAGGGCTGCAGTACTGAGCTGAAAATAGCCAGGCCTCCCGGATAGAAGCTTCAGCCAATCGGATGGCTTTCAGCTTTCCAAAAGCAACAAGCCTCGGCTTATTTGCGAGTAAACAGGAAAGGTGGGAGACATTTTGATGACGGCAAGATTTCTAATCAAAAGGCCTCATCTGCTCGCCAACTGAAATCCTGCAGTAGCCCAAAGTTTTGCCCCGACTTATTTCTTGTGATCTGACATTTGGACTCACTGTGCAACTTTTCATAACATCACCGCCCCACGGGTTCTCGTGACGGTTGGGCAGACAACGTCTGGGAAGACCGCCGTGACACTTTTGGAGCCCTGCAGAAAGATAGAGAGGAACAGGAAAGAATTGTTACGTGAGGGCACGGAGGAAATGACACAGACACAGCCAAGCGTAGACTTGTTGATTTTGGGAGAACCATGACGATGATGATCATCAGGAGGATGTGCAAATCCGTCTGATGGTTATCTGCCGCGGTAGCTTGAGGGGGGCCGGTTGTTTCGGGAGTGCGCTTTCAAGATCAAAACCATTTGGCGTGACAAATGTTTCGGATGAGGTTTGCGATGCTGTTCTCATCTGGAATTGGGGATGGTTTGGCGTTTGGCCGCAAAACTGGTGTTCCGTAAGAGCAGCGGCATATTCACATCAGACCGACACCGATACGAGTCCTTGAGCAATCGATGCCGAGCGCCGATACCTCTCATACTTTGGAGATCTAAAATTTCATTGAACACAATGACAAGAAGTTGCAAAGCAAGACTTTTCTTTCCGATGCGTTTGATGATTGTTGTTTGTTTGTTTGGTTGATGACATGTCACGAAACACTGGTTGGTGTCACGCCATTGATTCATGAACACTATGTTGTGCTGTGTTGTTGTCTGCCCACCGAAATTGGGTCCTGTCACATGCACTCATGGGGACAGTCAAGGCAAGGGGATCTATTTGAATGACTTTAGAGAGGCAGTGAGGCAAAATAACCAAAAGGAAAGGAGAAGACAAGAGGTTTCACTTTCACAGGGATGCTTCTTCGTGAGGCAAAATAACCAAAAGGAGAAGTTAAAAAAAAAGGGCCACAAAGACCCAAAGACAAGAGGTTTCACTTTCACAGGGATGCTTCTTGAAACATTTTTAATTTTAAATGTGAAGTGTGTCAGAAAAGGTTCAGGGCTGGTATCACAAATGTTATGTTTTTCAAAACACACCACTAGTTTTCCCGCTCAGTGTGGCCAGACGATCAACCAGAAAAACTGACAGGAGAAGTGAACCGATAGCTTTTTTCATCAATGGAGGCTACTGCTTCTTGTTGACTTTCAAACCGTCCGCTTGTACATTTTCGGGTCACGGCCCTCAAATGGCAGCAAAATTAACTGCGCCTTTAAATTTTGGGAGCGTCGCGCGCCTGAGGAAGTGACGTGACTAATGATCAACACCGTTGCTCTTATTTGTATTTTGTTTTGACTCTCTTTTATCTTTGTCTCACTGTTAGCGGCGGAAGAATAAATGACTCGCTCTTTGATTACATTAAAGTTTGGCGCAAAACTACAGTCCGGTGGGCGGTGGCTTTGGGGGTGGGAGGGGCGATGCCCACACACGGGATGTTTGTGTCAGCACACAGGCAATTTTTCAAGGGCTCCTAACATGGAACAGCTTATTTTAGCTGCTCTACCTGCTCACAATGATAGCGGGGATCTGATTCCATTTAGACCTAGAGCGGAATATAATTATATTATCGTGGCAAGTGAGAGGCCCAAATGGAGGCGCTTGTCCCTGCAGAGCTGCGGCCAACGCTCTTTGCTCCATACTGTCTATGTCTGCAACAGTGGCTGGAATTGGGATCTTTGCAGTTGTCTTCAAACTGACATTTTGAATGGTTAGCACTTGGGGATCTTGCAATAAAATGTATTTTTGGTAAATTTGGTGAACGTTATCTTGCTTTTTTTGTGTTTAGGGTCCTCATTTCTCCCTCATGGGCACCTTACACAGCAGAAAACCATGTGATGGAAGTTTTTCTTGATAGATCTTGCACCACTGATTCGCGTGTTGTTTTTAATCTTACACATGGTCACCGTGAATGATATTAAAAGCTCACTAGTGACAATAGAACCATTTTAATGACAAAATAATGCATACAAGCCTTATCACACAAGGTATAGCTGCAAGGCAAACTGTAAAGAATCCAAGAGTTTATGTTTAGGGTCTGTGGGTGCAGGCGTGTCTACTGTATGTGCGTCAGCCGTCAGGTGAGGGTGTGAAGGAGGACAGGTCCAGCTAGTCGATGAGCGTGGTGGCACCCTGATGTCATCACATTATGTGGAAAACTATGGAGGAGAGAAAATCCCTAAGGGGACAGCGAAAGGGTGTGTGTGTGTTTGTGTGTGCGCTCAAACGTTCCGCCTGACAGAAAAAGACCAAAAGAGTGTTTGAAAGAAAGCTGAAGACAGATTTCCCATAGAGGAGAGCTTGTTTCAGGAAAAGAGAAGGGCCAAAGCATGCAGAGACCCAATAGTTACCACGTAAGTGTGCAATTTAGTTCTTGCCATGCTGAGCCTTGTGATAAAGCCGGCAGTGTTTTGTTGTCTAAAATAAATGGCGTTATATTAAAATGGGGGTTTATATGTCTTCAAAACCTCATAAAAAGTCTTGTTAGGACAGCGTAGCATCTTAATGTGTGTTTAGCGTGTGTTCATGTATGTATCGGTGCAGGCTGTAGTGCTGACTTCGCACGGTGTCAGTTTCTTGGTTTCTTACCGGGACTTGTGTCCATCACTGTTTTATCCCAATTTTCAAGACTTGTGACTTGATTCATAGCTTATCATACCTTCAAAGAAAAAAAAAACACCATAAAATATGACTCATTTTGCACACATCTCCTGTCATTTTAGCACAACTTGAAAACGTTTCACATTTGCAATGGTGCCTAGAGCTTCGAACGACCTTCTCGAGATACAAGTTGTCTATTGATTGATGACGATTTATTTATTTTTTTTGACTTGCGAGCATAAACTAGTGCTACTAGCGCTTAATGGCGGCACGTGACTCAATTCACTTTACAGCAAGTGGCAATTTGGCAGGTATAAATTGTAAATATTCTTCGAAAAAGAGGCTTCGCCGTGTTTTTTCGCCACTCTTGACAACGGGAAAGTCGAAAGACAGACGGGCTCACGTTGAGCGTCGATGTCGCGGTCTTGTTACCCATCAAACAACGAATATAGGAACACAAACATTGCTAGAATATATATCGACACACCAGATAACAAGACTATACTCACAATCATATAATGTTGCTTCTTGACAAATTGTGACTAATGTCGCTACACTGACGTGCCAAAGAGCAGTGAAGCCGTCTGTCATGTACTGCCCCCAGGTGGCCAAGACAAGAACAATTTCATTCTTTTAAATTTGCGTTGATTACATCATTGTTGTACTGTATATGTTTTCTTTAGCATAATATTGCCTATCGTGCTAGTTGTCTCATTGAAAAACAAAATCGTTTTTTAAGGGGTCTTTGTGGGAAGGGTCGGCTTCACGGCATTTTCATTCATTTTCACAAATTAACAAAGAAGGCAATTTTCCTTTTTCTCAATTTTTTTTTTTTGTATTTGTTTTTCAGTTTTCCCAGGATCAATTTATCCTGGATGGTCCATCGGAGAAGCTTCGCAGAGAGTTGGAGGAAGAATTGAAGATGAATTGCGAAGAGCCCAGAAGCCATGCTTGGTACCACGGAGCGATACCCCGACAGGTATCACGTCGTCAGCCTTTGAAACAGTCGGTCGTCCCTCTCAAAGGGAACAAAGTCACCAACTCGCTCAATGAAATCAGCAATTAAAAAGCAGCCTCACTGCACACTTAGCGTCTGATTTACCGAAGGTTTGCACATGCAAAAACGGCCACAAAGTTGATTGCTCACCAAAACAGAAACTCATCGGAGACATCCAGGGTTGGATCTGCCTCATGGGGGGAAAAAAAAAATGCTTTGATTAATCAAAGCTAAGACAAATGACATTGGTTGACTTTTACGTCTTTCAATTCCACAATTGCAGTTGCAAACCCGCAAGCACAGCGGTGCCAGCATAGCGCAGGCAAAATGAGAGGCGGCAGATTTTTCCGCTCATGTAAACGTTTGCGAAATGCCAAAACCGAAAATGAGCAACAACAATGCCATTTGGGAGCTTCCGAATGCTCTCACGGCTGACTCGGAGCCAGTCACAGGGAGGAGTCACTCTTGGAACATGGAGTGAGCTCGCTATTCTCCATCAAATGCATCCGAACTGCAGTGAAGCGACTCACCAGAGAAACATTTTACGGGAGTGACAAAGACCAACATTTCACACGCGATCGTCCGCTTCTTTGGGGCTAAAACAAACAAGCGTCGGGAAGCAGCTTATTTGATCAAAGTCTCGAGCTTCACCGAGGCTTCATCTAATTTGGATCATGTGGCTCAGTTTAAAGGCCAGTGTCACTGTCACACTGAGTTTGCCTGTTCAATTGTTCAAGGTTTCCTTTGCATAAGAGCCGTGAGAGATATCATTATTCATTCATCATCCTCATTCATTGAAAAGAACAGCCGTTTTGTTTGGGAGCTCGACCAAATCATCATATTGCATAACTACTCCTGCATTTGCCCGGTTTGGCCCGTGAGTCTTTCGTTTCGACACCTGTGCACGGACACGCCGTAACGCTCTGTATCGTCCTAGGTTGCTGAAAACTTTGTCCAGCGAGATGGAGATTTCCTGATTCGGGATTCGCTGTCCAGTCCCGGAAGTTATGTTCTAACTTGTCAATGGCGAAATACAGCCCAACATTTTAAAATCAATAAAAAGGTAAGACAGATTAGCTCCTCCCGTGGGTCGTTTTTTTTTTTTTGTTTTGTTTTTTTAACTGCCACAATCCCCAGAGTGTCAGACATTCTTCTCTTCATTGTTTTTTTTTTGTTTTTCATCTCATAATTTTCACATCTCTTCTTATAGCCAGATCACATTTTCACATATCACAAAGTTCTTACCGTTTGTCCGCTAGGTTGTGATGCTGAACGAAGCCTATTCCAGAGTTGAGTACCGTGTGGAGCGAGAGGGTTTTGACAGTGTTCCCGCTCTAATAAGATATTACGTGGGCAACCGCAAACCCGTCTCCCAGGTGAGTTTGAACCAGACGTCCATCTGTTGAGAAAATAATAACACAAATTGGAAAACGGGAAGCAAATGTATTCAATGATGAAAGGGCCTGAGACTGGCTGGCGACGAGTGTGGGGTGTAAGCTACCTCTCGCCCCAAAGTCGGCTGGGAATCGGCTCCATCCTACCCGCGATGCCAATGGGCACAAGGGGACGAGAAAATGGACAGACGGATGATTTAAAACATTTAAGAGAGCTGGGACACCCTGTTCTGGTTTGTGTTCGTTTGTGCCCTGAGTCACAAACTGCCTCACTGTCGTGTGGTGTTCCACAGGGTTCAATTCTGGGGCCTCTGCTGTTTTCATTGTATCTGCTCCCTTTGGGTTCCATCTTAAGGAAACGTGGTATTTCCTGACATGCTATGCGGATGACCGTCAGATCTATGTCCCCCTGAGCAAAAAAAAGACACTTTCTCACAGAGGCCACTTTTATCCTTTTATCTCGCTCCATGTACAGCACTTTGTATACAGTGGTGGTTATTTTAAAGTGCTCCAGAAATGCAGTTGAGTTGAGGTAAAATCTGACTCTGTTGATGTATTTTGTTTGAATGGTTTTCCTGCAGTTGCAAAATGACTGAAAGAGATTGAGACGAATTGCGGCATTTGTGTTTCAGGTGGTGGGCGCCATTATCTTCCAGCCCATCAACCGCACGCTGCCGTTGCGCTGCCTGGAGCACAAGTACGGATTGTCCGGTAACCCTCGAGAGGCGGGGCTGATCGAAGAGGAGCGGCGGCGTCAGAAGCGCCTCAGCCTCAACATCACCAACGGACACTTACAAGACAACACACACGGCGGTCACGATGGCGCACACTACCACAATAACGGCATGGCCCGAGGAAGCCAGCTCAGGTTGGTCCACAATGTCTGGCAGTGACACAGTGATTCATCCTTGCTTTAGTCGAAATAAATTCCACAGTCTGGCCGCGTGTTCAGAATTATTTGACGTTCTAATCTGCTCAGGTTGAAGGGTCGTTGCGGCAGCCAACCAGCAAGCCTCAATCAACTCCCGGAGAAGCGGCGGCCGCTCAAAGCGCACCAATCCGAGAGCTTTCTGCCACTCGGTGAGTAAAGATGACATTTCAACATCTCGCACCGAAAAGACAACGGGGAGCAAAAAGTCAGGAAAACTGGATAGTGAAAATGGAATTGAAATGACCCAATAATTCTGTTTTATATCGTCCGTGGATGAGAACGAGCGTGCGCCGGTTTTCCCCTCTGTACCAACGAGCGTTTTTGTCTCTGACATGCAGGATCCAAACCCCTGAACCAGCAGCACTCGGACACCAATCTCCACAGCCCAAATACCAAGTCTCCCGTGTTCCGAACTGGCAGCGAACCGTTGCTCAGCCCGTCAGTCCCGCGGAGGTTGGCGGAGCCACTGGCAGGTCTGAAGATTCCTACGAGCTAGCCGGCAATACTCTCTTACATCAGATACCTTTTTCATATCAGCAAAGATAAGATGATTCACTGCAAACAAGTTCCTTTCAATTTCCTCCTGACACTGCTTGCATATGAAGAGAATTCCATTCATTTTGCTCACATGCTTGACATCATGCGCTTCTCTGATTTGAAGAAAGTCCAAGAAAACAATTCATAGAGGCAGCTGTTTCCGGATTAAATATAGATGCAGCAAAGCATTTGTGATCAGAGGTTCATATGAGTGCAGTGACCTGACTCAGGTCAAAGTGCATCAATAGGAACAAAACCAAAGTTATTTTCCGTCTGAAAATCTTGGGAATGCTTCCAGGTCAGCCGATCCGGGGCTCTGACAGCCAGCTGTGTCCGAAACCTCCACCCAAACCCAGCAAGGTTCCGTTGGCACGACTTCCTCGTTTCCCAGGTCTGCCCCCCAACACCACAGAGCCCCCCTGCCCCAGCCTCTCTTTACCCACTCTGGACTTGCCGTGTGGGGAACCCCCTCTTTGTTCGTGGAGGACCGGAGGTAATATCATCGTTCTATTTTTTTTTTCCTGACAAGATATTTTTTGACTACATTGAGAAAAGACAAAAATGCTTTGAAAAATATACATTATTGATAAATACAAACAGCTCTGTTTAATGGGGCGTTGTAGTGATTCACATAGCTGGCTTTTAAGTCTTTCTTAGTCACCGGAGCTCATCTGAGATGGGCCGATATGGAAAAGTGTGGTCTGACGAGTCCACGTTTCAGATTGTTTTTGGAAATCATGGACATCGTGTGCACTGCCGTGTCCTCTGGACCATCCACATTTGTTCACAATTCTGATCAGTTTGAACATGAAACATCTTGTCTTTAGTGTGTATTGAACTGAACATGATCCGCATGATCATTGCATTGTGTATTTGTTGCATACTTTACACAACGCTCCAACTTCACTAGAATTGGGGTTTGGACAATTGCCCCGCGGTGACTGTTGACGATTCCGGCTGATGTCGAAGTTAATGGACGTTATTGTTGGACCGCAGGTCCTCCTACACCTCCGGTGAAGTCTTTCCACGCGGACCTGCAAAGCTCTTCCAGCTGTGCACTCGCACAGATTCAGTATCCCGACTCTGAGGCGATACCAGGACGAAGTGAATGCCTGGCACAGACTCCCACAGACCTCGGGTCCTGCAGCCCGCTGGAATGGAATGAACCCGACTTGATTCCAGGCAACGCCCATGAACTCGAGCAGCTGCCGTGCAGCTATGTTGAGAGATTGAGGCAAGAGGGCGAGGCGGCGGATGCGACGGGAGGGCAGAGAGGGCTGGACCGAAGCTCCTACCATCACGCCATCGAAGCTTTAGAAAACACCAGTGAGGACGAAGAGGAGGACGCGGGGAGGGAGGAGCGGGAGGACGAAACCAGAAACGTGTTCCTAAGGCCGCTGGTGGAGACGGAGTCGGCGTTCCGACCGACGGAGTTCCACTCTCGCCTTCTGCCGGCCGAAAACAAACCCCTGGAGATGTCGGTTTTGAAGCGAGCCAAAGAGCTGCTTCTGAGCCACAACCACCACAGCATCGCCAGGCACCTGCTCGTGGCCGACTGCCAGGTACAAACACACGCCCAGACAGCACACGTTCCGAGCGCCTGACCTCAAGCCTCGCGCGTCACTACAACCCACATTCTACGCCTGATCTTCAAACCTCATCTCGACCTTCAAACCGCCCTTTGAAAGCTGACCAAACTGCCTTCACTTTTTCCCCCCACATGTTTTCACAAGGATCTTTGAGCAGCGCAGATGCGACGTGTTTTTTTTTTTTTTTTTTCCCTGAACCAAAACAAATAAGGGGTGATTCCAGGACACTTGTTCTGCGTCACGTCCTGGTGATACCAAAGCAAGGACACTTCAAATCCGATGACGAATTTCCATGTTGTTTATTTGGCCGACTGGTTCATTGATATTAAAGATACGCGCTACATGAAACAGATGAGTAGCAATTTCGTTTGATGCTGCCGAGCAAGTGAGGCGAAATCCACTGCTGGTCGATTCCGGCTTGTTGCGAGGAAACGGTTAAGTGGCCCAGACACCAACGGGTCCGTGCGTCTCTTTTGAGAGGAAGTCATGTCCTGTGAGGCATAATTTCCTTTCTGTCAAGAATGTAATCTTGGTCCTCGAACGATCGCCCAGGAGCCAAACAAAAAAACGATCACACACCAATGAACCACTCCGGCAAATTCCGAGCCGCATCGTTAAGCGGAGACGTTTTACGTTGCAGGTGGCGAGGATACTCGGTGTGTCGTCTGAGCAGAGAGGTCGGATGGGGGTCGATTCGGGCCTAGAGCTGATCACCTTGCCGCACGGACGACAGCTGAGACTGGACCTGATGGAACGGTATGGACTGTGTCTCGGAGCTGAGCTTCATTTCCACAGTTGAAAAATGTCCCCGGGTCTTCATGATATGTTGACATCAAAATACCCCAAGGATCAAGAATTAAATCTGCATGCATAAGAATCCGAAACATCTTTTTTGACCAAGTATGTCAAAAGTTTCCAGTAGCTCCGCGAGCATTGCAATCACAAGCAACCATGACAAACAAACATGAGACACATTAGCACAGTAAAAGGTTGAGAAAATGGCTGGTCTGTCACTCGGGACTATTTTCAGCCCTCGGAAAGTCAAAATTGGCAAGCAATCCTTTTCAAACACGGCAGGTATTACAGTTGACAAAGCAGCAGGCTCGTCAGTCACAATTTGCAAGCAATCCTTTTCAAACACGGCAGGTATTACAGTTGACAAAGCAGCAGGCTCGTCAATTTGCGCACTCGTCAAGTGCGTCTCTCCTTCTCACTCCTTGCAGACATCACACCATGGCAATCGGCGTGGCTGTGGATATTCTCGGGTGTACGGGCAGCATGGAGGAGCGAGCGTGCACTTTGAATCGCATCATTCTGGTGGCACTGGAGCTGAAGGACACTGTCGGTGACCTCTTTGCGTTCACCGCTCTGATGAAAGCTCTGGAACTGCCACAGGTAACCACGCACACACACGCGTATATTGAATGTTTATCAGTGGTTTTTTTTCTGTTGTTTTTGTTTTGTTTTTTTAACATTTGTGGATTTTAAAATGATTTTTTTTTTTTTTTTTACACCAACACCAATGCATTTCCATGGATGTCAATGAGACACAGATTTTCGCAATTGACAGGCCAACCCAGTCCATATCCCCCAGAAATAGGTCCACTGTATGTACGGATTTACGTATGTACATATCCACACACACACGCACACACACACACCCAAGACCAGGGGGTGTCCAAACTTTTTCGTTGGAGGGCCTCATACAGAAAAATGGAAGGCTCAAAGGACCACTTTTAAATTCTAATCTTGTGGCCCATTTTAGTTGGTTTTTTTTTTTTTGTCATTTCACAGGCCGAGGAAAAATAGATTGTGGGTCGAAAATGGCCCCCAGGCCACAGTTTGGGGATGTCCAACCTGTGGCCCGGGAGCCATTTTCGACCAAGGCGGTCCCAAAAAGGTTTACTCGGCTGGACGCGGGAGCATTTGGGTGCAGCAACGTGTCAGTCGGAGGTCAAGGCTCCAGTAGCTGTGGTTCCTTTCAATTTCAATCAGTCAATCAATCAAAACTTTACCATTAGTGATCAAATTATATGAAAATGAGCCCCTACCCACACACACACACACACACACACACAAATGTGTGTGGCACACGATGGACATCAAAGACCCACATTGGATTTGACCGGAAGTTACGAGAAAACAAACTGAGCTTTGTTTTGCACAATGCAGATCAGTCGTCTGGAGGGCACATGGACGACTTTGCGGAGGAACTACACGCAGACTGCCATCAGCTATGAGAAAACTCTCAAACCTTTCTACAAAAATCTCTACGAGGGAACGGGTACATTTAAAAAAAACATCGATTTCATTCAACAAAATATTGATGGGCCTGGATTGCACAATGTGAAATGTCGGATTCTTCTTCTGACCTCGCTTCAGCCTCGCGTCCTGCCGTGGTGTGCGTTCCCCTCCTGTTGCCCCTTCTCACTTTGATGGAGCGTCCGTCCGTCTCACCGGAAGGGGCGGAGCTCTGGGAGACCAGCGACCAGGGCTGTGACATCATGCTGCGGCACCTCGAGGCGGCACGCGAGGTCGCGCACGATGCTCGGAGCTACACCGAGAACGCACAGAGAATCATGCATGGTAAAAGCAAAAGGAAAGAAATTACTGCTCCAAATAAAAAATACTTAGTTTGGGTGAAATGTCAAAGTGAACTTAAAATGCCTTTTCAGGTGCACTTGATTTGACCTATAACTTCTGCGTGTATATGTATGTTCATTCATTCGTTGCTAGGCCAGTTAAAATGGATCTTTGACGTCGATAGCCGTCATTGGCACCGAGTGACTTTCAAACAAGGCTCGCGCGTGCATGTTTTCAGGGTTCCAGTGTGACGAGGACTTGCTGGAGGTGTTCAAGACGGACTTTCAGCTGCGGCTACTGTGGGGGAGCCGCGGCGCTTCGGTCAACCAATCGGATCGCTACAGCAAATTCAACCTGATCCTCACGGCACTGTCAAGGAAGTTGGAGCCCCTACCCAAAACGCACACTTTAATTTGACTCATGATTGGCAGCAACATACGAAAATGTGCCGTGTAACCTCATTGCGAAAGAAACATCAAGTCATGCCAAGCGATCACATTCATAAGCAATAACGGGTTCAATCGAAGGCGATACAAAAGCAACTGTAAATACAAATACAACACCACTCTTGTGATGCAATGATAGTGTTACCATGAGATGGTATTTTTAGTCAGGCTGATACGATGGTCATCATGCGTTCAGAATGTCATCTATGATGCGTCACAAAATGTACTTTCATTCCCTCAAAAGATATGTCGGAAGCAGCCGGATTAAGAAACGCTTTAACTTGAGCAGCACTTGTGTATTGTATACATACAATGACGCTCCTGTGTGTTCCCAGACAAGAGCTGGAGTGTGGCGGCGCCCGAAGGAAGGGCGGTATGTTGCAAAAATCGGGGGACAAAACTTGCACTTTCTGAGAGAGCAGACGTCTGTGTATCATGTCGATAAAAGTAACTGTCATTCCACAAGACTAATGCGGAGTTGAAGTTCTTGATTTCAGTCTCTTTACACAAAGCCAGCTAAAACGAAATCGCCCCGATACTAAAAAGGTCCGAAGTGACTCATTGGGGCCGCTTATTATGTTAAATCACGTAAATAGTTTGATTCCATTTCATATTTAAAACAGAGGACGGGTGTGTGTGTAAATGTGACGATACACACAATTATTGTATGTGAAGGTGTCACGAAAGTTGAACTGTAAATATTGTGAAGCATTGACCCCTTTTGTTTTGTATATAATTAAGAAAGAAGAAAATGTGTCAAGGAATTTGAATGTTTATATTCTGAACTACTACTGTGGTAAGTTTTAATAAATATGGTACATGTCCTGTGGAGTTTGTGTGTGTGTGTTTGTGTGGACATCACTCGAGTGCCGAGAGCGTAGCTGGCGGAAAAGCGAGCTCCAAAAATAGGCAAAACCAGTTTTATCTCCAAAGGCGAAACTGGTTTTGAAGTAGTTATGAAGGGACGAACTGAAACAAACAAGATAGGATTGTAGTATCAAAACATGTCTTTCATAGAAGAGGACTCACCCAAAAAATAAGTGGCATGAAGGAAATTTGAGCCATTTTCACTGGGCTCCAAAGTATTGGGGCAATGGACTCTCACATAACACTGGGGAACAATTTGAAAAAAAAAAATCTTCTGAGTTAAATTTTTTTATGCTGATTAAAATTTAAAATGTCAATTTTTTTTTCTCCACCGCTTACCATCCAGACCAGCAAAATTCCAGTGATTAGCTGTAGCAAGAAGAGCTCATCTAAAGCAACGTGGCAACTTGTATAGTAGCATAGTAGGAATGAAGAGGATTACAGTACAACTGGATTTTCTCCGAACCTTGGAACCACGGGCATACTTGTGCCGCCACAATTGAGACACTGCGGTGAGAGGTGTGTGCGGTTCCCAATACGTCAGTATAATCGAAATCTGCAAAGAGAGAGATAGCATAGTAGGAATGAAGAGGATTACAGTACAGCTGGATTTTCTCCGAACCTTGGAACCACGGGCATACC